TGCACTGCGGTTTAAGTTTCAAGCCTCAAATAACGAGGCGAAGTATGAAGCCCTGCTAGCCGGAATTCGCATGTGTAAGGTAGCAGGGGCAACTAAAATTGACGCCTACTTTGATTCACAGTTGGTCGTGAGCCAGTATGAGGGAAAATATGAGGCAACTCATCCGGCTATGATCAAATACCTTCAGGCAGTCAAAGAAGAGGCTGGGGCACTTGAGGAATTCCGTCGGAATCAAGTGCCCAGGTCGGATAACAATCAAGCGGATGCGTTGTCCAAATTGGCTTCATCCGCTTGCTGTGATACGCCTCGGTCGGTCTTTCGGGAAGTTCTTAAAAAGAGAAGCATATATGAAGAGCCCATTGGAATTCTGGACCGAAGCTCTACCTGAATGGATGGCATCCGGGCGTATTTAGCAGACGGCATACTTCCTGATTCACCACAGGAAGCAGCCGTCATGAAGAAACAAGTGGCAAACTTCGAGTTGAGAAACGGAGAGCTCTTCAAGGCGGGTTTCCTTAAACCTCTATTGAAGTGTGTTACCCCAGAAAACGGGAAAGAAGTTCTCGAAGAATTGCATGCCGGGTACTGCGCCTCTCATATAGGCGACAGGTCCCTAGCCGTCAGAGCCAGGCGGCATTACTTTTGGCCTACTCTTGAAGCAGATGCTAAAGAGTTGGTGAAGAGATGTGACAAATGCCAGAGGTTTCGCAGACTTATTCACCGCCCGGCTACTGACCTAACGGCAATCCGCAGCCCAGTCCCGTTTGCTAAATGGGGCATGGATATCTTGGGTCCTTATACGCCTGCTCCAGGCGGAAAGCGCTACATTTTGGTGGTTGTGGATTATTTCACCAAATGGGTAGAAGTTGAGCCGGTTTAGAACTTCAAGACAAAGGATGTCATCTCTTTCATTTGGAAAAACATCATCACCCGATTTGGGGTACCTATGTCTATGGTGTTTGATAATGGCCCTCAGTTTGAAACCCCTCATCTTAAGACTTGGTTGGGAGATCAGGGCATCTCACATTGTTTTGCATCAGTCAGCCGACCCCAAGTAAACGGTCAGGTTGAAGCCTTCAACAAACTCATCTCAGACGGCATAAATAAGAAAATCGAAAGAGTCGGTGGCTTATGGGCAGAAGAGCTAATTCATGTCCTATGGGCCATCCAGACTACTACCAAAGGGGCAACCGGTGAAACCCCATTCCTTATGGTATACGGTGCTGAAGCCGTCTTGCCCATTGAACATTACGAGCCGACTCTACGAGTCATGCTTTATGATGATGAGGCAAATTGAGAGGCCATGCGGCTAGCATTGGACTCCCTCCCGGAACGCAGGGGCAACGCTGCCCTGCGCCATGAGATATACCGTCTGAGAATGACCAGAGCCTACAACAAGAAAGTGCACAGGTGTCCTTTGAAAGTTGACGACTTTGTGTTACGAAAAATGGAGGCAACCGGTAGGGCCAATGAGGCTGGAAAGCTAACGCCTAATTGGGAAGGCCCCTACCGGATTTATGAAGAAGTCGGAGACGGCACCTACCGTCTGGAAACCCCAGACGGCCGGTGCCTACCTAGAACTTGGAATGTAGATAACCTAAAAAGGTACTACTTCTGAGAAATGTAAATTTTTGTAAACAGTAAGTCAATTAATGAAAATTCAGACTTTGTTTGCAGAATTGTTTCGCTATTTTTTGCTTGTCCGACTGGGTGATACTCAGACGGACCCTTTGTTTAACTAACTAAGTTTGATACTTAGTGTAATTCAATAATTGCTTGTCCGCCTAGGTAATACTCAGACGGACTATTTGTTTAACCAACTAAGTTCGACACTTAGTATAAATTCAATGTTGTAATAACGCTCAGCCGATGGTCCGATTAAAAAAACTAAGCACAAAAACGCTTAGTGGCTATACAACCGGTCTCAAACAAGACCAAAGGCCAAAGTGGCCGGATGGTTGCTTATTTTATAAAACCGCCTGTCCCAACATGGACAAAGGCGTCCGGCGACACCCCTCCTGGTGCAATCGTCGCAGAGAACAGAATATTTGTCGGTTCTACGTACCTATGCAGACGACGAAAATTGAACGACCAAATTGGTCAACTCATAGCCGTCTGACCAGAATAATCTATGAAGAACGATTAAGTTACCGAATATCGGATGCCCCGAGGCATCAGTCGGTAACCGACTGATGTTCTCACTTAGGTTATTTATTCCAAAGTTGCACTCTCTCTCCCAATTGGGGCAAAAGATTTTGTGTAATGGTTATGTAATAACCCTAGACGGAATATAACCGCCTGGGTAAGAAGCTCAAAGCACTCGCTCTAATGGCCGGTTGTGCACTTGGTTTGGGGCAATCACCATTGTGATTGATTGGCCTAAGAACACTCCATACTTCTCCTAGTATCAAGTGTTTTCAAGTTAATCAATCAATTTGAAACAAAACCAACCACACAGCCGTCCAGGGGCAAGAGCACCCGGATTGCAAATTGCTGCATGCTTTCTTAAGTTAGGAAAAATATTAAAGAATTGCAAACATACGCAAAATTCAAATTGAAAAATTCGTTCAAACACAAACATATATAAACGCCGACTGAGTCGGAATACTTCATAAATATTTAAAATGGCACAAAGGCCAGAATAAGTGTTAACCGAACACATCCGGTGAAGAAAGAAAGAAATAAAATGTTAACCCAACTCCATAGTTGGTAAAGATACAACAGTTTACGGCATACAAGCCGGTAAAGAAACAGTTTGGCATACTGCCGCAGAAAGTGGGAAGGCTCGCCTAAGGCTGAGGTGGATGATGCTGCTCCGGCTGATCTTGGCTGGGTTGGCCTTCATTTTTCTCATCCGCCGCCGGCTCCTCGTTATCAGAGACTTCATATCCCTGATCTGCAGCCCAATCTTTGAAACGAAGCGGAGGAGCCTCACCCATTACTTGGGCATCATACACCTCAGTGGCGTAATCATACCTGAGCTTATAGACCTCAAATTCTACATCTGGGTAGAGGAGGCTCCAAGTGATCTTCAGCCGGGCCAGATTATCACGCTCATTCTCCTCTATCAGCCGTTTTTTCTCTTGGGCGAGCTCGTCCGACTGCTTGTTTCGTAGAATGACAAGCTCAACCCCCAGGCGGGAAACGTGTGCTCGGAGTTGAGTGTTTTCTTGATCAGCATCCTCTAATGCCTTGATCTCAAATTTGGCATCCTTCAGTTTTTGCTCAAGGTCATCAGCGCGGCTGTTAGCTTTGTCGTTCGCAGCCGTCAAGCTCTGGATTAGCTCCTCCTGTTTCAACTCTACTGCTTTAATCTTTAAATCACACATATAATTAGCATATTCAGCAGAGTTGAGGTTTTCAAGGGCCCTCCGTTTGGCGTCATTTACCTCTTCTTGCTTTTGCCTAAAGGGGCCCCAGAGTCCGTCCACCCTCAGCATCACCTGAGAAAAGAGCAGCCAGATTATGATTTACTTAGTAAAATTAAAAGAAAATATATCAAGGTTGTGGGGTTCCTTACCTCAACCAGCTCGCCCATTATCCGGTCGAAGTCCACTACCTGCAGATCAGGTATGGAGTTCTTCTCTGACCAGGTGAGGGTCCTCACCATCCGTTTTGCGAAGCCTACAAGATCCGGCTCGTTGGATGTCAATTCTACACCAAAAGTAGTACTCCGTGAGTAAGAGGCAGCATAGTTGGCACTCATCCGTTGCCGGCTGCTGACTGAACCCCCAGAGGGGTCTACCTTAGTCTTGACTCTCATGAAGTCAAGTGGCCAAGGTATTTCAATCCTTCCCTTACCTTGGGTTCCGGATGGGGCGCAGGCTTCCGCTTCTCCCCGGTTGTTGCCGCACCGGCTACAACATTAGGTGGCTCGCCACCCTTCGATGCCGTAGAGGCATCCGGCGCTTTCTGCTGTGAGCGTTCTGAGCTTTCGCTCAAGATCTTCATCGCAGCAGAAGATTTGCCACCGGTCGTTGGACGATCGGTTTTGGCAGAAGAGTCTTACCGGGGAGGGTCTTTTCTGGCTACCTTTGCAGCCGGAGTCTTTTCTAAATCCTCTCCTTGCCTTTTGAAAAGCTTGGAGAAGGATCGGGGTACACGCTTTGCAGAGTCCTGCAAAATGAAAGTGGTTGAGTATACCCAGCCGGCAATCTGCCTAAAATATATATATATATATAATAATGATATGTATTCAGGCGGTCTTTTACCCCGCCTTTTTTGGACTCTTTGGCGTCCACGGCTGCTTTCTTAGCCAGAGCCGCTTCCTTGCGCAGCTGCGCCACTGACTTAGCCGGTGTCTTTGTCGGATCGACCATTTTCAAGGCGTCGGCTGCATGAACAGAATTCATGGTTAGAAGAAATTGTGGCAAGTTTACAATAAAAATAAAAATAACAAACACTCCGGATGTAAGTGGATCTACCCTTGGGAAACATGGGACTTAACCCACAGGCGGACAAGAAGCATTCATCCTTGAAATAGTCCGGATGGGGATGCAATTTTTGGGAGCAATAATGTGAGTCCCATCCCCCATGGGCTCAGTTGTGGTCTCAAAGAAGCCCGGCTCTATTATTTGCTCCCGGGCCTTAGTAGATAGCTCCGGGAGAGGGCATTTCCTTCCCAGAAGAGCCGACGCTGTGTTGTACTGGCGGAGAGTCCAGTTGTATCTCAGAGTTGGGGAAGAAATCAAATAGAAATTGTCCTTCCACCCGGACCATTTGGACACCTTGTCCAAACTCATCAGATACTGGGGCAAGGTAGAAAGAGTGTACCATGCCCCATGACCGCCTGGTACCTTGCTCAAATAATGCATGTGAGCGAAGGCGGAGAAGCTGGGATTTATGTTTTGGAACTCGCAGGCGGCGATGTAACTCAGAATATTCACCCACGAATTGGGGGTGCGCTGCCAGACTCCTAAATCATACCCCTTCAGGATTTTCCTAATCCCGGTATGAAGGGGGAACCAGAGGTCGGCTTCTATTCCCGCCTCGTAGCATACAAAATAGGTCTGCATTATCAATGTCATCGTCCCACGCCATTACTGTGTCAGCAAGCGGAACAATGATATCCCACCCCTTCCCAAAGGGGTGCTTCTCTTTAAAGGCCCTAAAGCCGCTTCTTAGTAGGGCGATGTCACCCAGCAGCATTCTAGTCCTTTTTGGGTTAGGGTGGTCAGCGACTTTAGGCGGCTGCTGATAGTCAGCCGCAAAGTTATCCGGGTCAGAGCTAGAAGATTCGGCCTTTGAACCTTCACCGGCCTCGTCGTCACCGGTTCCATTAGAGGAGGCGGCTTCCTCACCGCCTTCCTCTCGTACTCCTGAGCTCCCGAAAGTAGAGGGAGCCTCTTCATCAGAACCACTCTCCTCCAAATCCCTCTATTCCCCGTCTGGAATAACCTCATCGGATGGCACTGACATAGTGCGCCGGCTCTTAGATTTTCTGGTCGTCTGTTTGACTATGGCCATTGTATCCTGCACAGACACAGAGAGGGAGGAATTCGGAGATGAGTACATCGGTTCTGACAGTCCAGAAAAGGCACCCCCTGTTCTAGACTCAGCTGATCCGGGGGACCGGCTGAGTATCCTAGGCAGTGCCGAGTGTGTGGATTGAGAACTCATTTTTATTTTCTAAAACTATGTATACCGGCGGAGAAAGAATGTATACTAGTTGAAAAAGAGAAAAGCTAAAATGGTATAGGCGGTTACCTTACTTTAACTCTGAATAATCTGAAAACCGCTACAACCGGTAAACCGGGTGTTGAACTGCTAGCACACGGAACCTCGAAAATACTCTGACGCAGGCGGAGGCAGAGAATCTCTCTCTAAAAGATCTCTCTTTCTCTCTCTAAAAAAAGTCAAATGAAAATAAGGTGAGAGAAAAAGGGGGGTAAATTTCTATTTATAGAAGGTGAAAACGGGGGAAAATTCTAGTTTGAAATTTAAATTTTACTATCCGTTACTGTTCACCTCTGATAGGTGGACACGTGTCACAGGCCCCACGTGATACGCACGTGAGCCCTGTGAGGGGCAAATTTTTAGGGTAAAGGATGGCCCACGTGTCTTAATATCCCCTTGACACATGGCCCCTTGGATAAATCTCTAAAATGGCGGCTTCAAGGGCCCAAATCCCAATAAGCGCCGTAAAACGGCGCAGCCCACTAAAATCTAGGTCAAGTGACCAAGATGGGGGCACATTCTCCAATGACCCTATAAATAGGGAGATATTTCCCCATTTTGGGGACACATTCAATCACTTATTACACACGCATTCTCTCTCATCAGAAAAAGACCTGAGCTTGGAATCCAAGCAAATCCCCACCTAAATTTCCGCATTCTTTTTTCCCTTCCAAGTTGCTAACTTGATCGTCGGAGGCGGAGATCCAACCACCCGGAGGCTCCGTTGTTTTGCAGGTACAACTCAGCCGGACCAGACTTCGTGACGTAACTCTCCCGAGGGACAAAAACACCCAAAACATGTCTTTTGTAGCCCGAACCGTCACACCCCTAGTCGAACTTTTACCCCTTTCACCTTTATTATAATTCTTTGGTTGCTTTTCTCTATCAACCATCTTCTCCTTACCTTTTCCTTTCACATAATTCTTCCTTTTAGGAATTATAGGAGTCTTAAACTCAATCCCTTGTGTTCTCGGACCTAGACGATCTTTAGGAGGCGCTTTCTTACTTCCAAGACGGCCCTTCACGTCAAAGTTGCGTGATCCGACTCGATCCTTCTACTTCTAGGATTCAACCATGCCTTGTATGCACTAGATAAGGGAGGAGGAGCTTGGTTACTTGCAGAAACGGTCCACAAAGGTCTTCCAATCCAATAAGCCTCGTACTTGTGAACGTTACTTTCATGCAATAATACTTCACGAGGACTATCGTTATAGCATAGAACTACTTGTTCAAGTCCATATTGTCGCATCAATCGAGAAGGACAATAAAAAGTCAGCCTTGAAATATTAGGAACACGACAATACGGAGTATCATTCGTACCAACCATCCTAGTAAGCTTCCACCAAGGAACCACCCAACGAATGGAAAATTCTCTCTTTGCAAAGAAATTCTTCCAATCTTCATACGACATGTTCACAGAGTAATTCTTCTTTCTGCAGACTAGATCGTTGGGACCATATTTTTCAATATCGTCGGGGCTTCAAAAAGTTCTAAATGCTCCATCAACCAAATCTGCAAAATAAAAAAAAAATTAGTCGAAAAAAAAATTGCAGAATCCACCGTGACACGGCAGAATGCACCATGATACGATGCCTGTTTTGTGTCACGAGGGCTACTCAAAAAGCGCGTTTTTACCTGCAGCAGTACTAGAGAGCCCTTCCTGACGGCTTTCCGATCAGCTTTTGCTTCGTCAAGGCCGCGTAAAGTTTCTCCAAGGCACGTAGGCATAGGAGATCTCCTAGATTCGACATGTTCAAGCACAGATGCTAGACAAGCATGTCCTACCCTACCATTTGCAAATAAAATCTTGCTAAACATGCAAAAAATATAAGCCCTGCTACGGTATATATGATAAGACTCAGAGACAGGGCGATTGAAATATAAATTTGCAAGTTTTTCTAGGTCTACCTCATTACCACACACAATTCTATTTAAATCTGGATCTCTCAGTTTCAGATGGCGTTCAAACTCTTGGTAATAATACTCACGTAGGGTAGGCATGGCAATAAGATTTCTGGCAGGAAACCCAAAGATGGCACCGAATTCCTCCGGCAGGGGACATATTTCATCATAATCAAATTTAAAACAATGTGTTTCTGGAATCCAATAGTCTAATGCTGCCCTAAGAAAATCATGTTCAATAGCTACATGTCTCAGGGCTAATAAACCCCTGACATGAAACCATTCCAACTCTCTTTTGTCAGCATTGGTCAAAGAATAAGACCAGTCGCACAATGTATTATCAAAATTCTGAGACATTATTATTGAAATATGAAATTCTAATTATTTTATGTTTTGTAATTATGCATATCGCGAATATACTGGTCCTATTTTATAGCAAAAACGCTTAGAAATACTCAGAATCTATCTTTCTATACGCGTAAACCACACCGTTGCAGAATACGCGCACCGTGACACAGGATTTCCCGCCGTGTCACTGGAATATATGCCGCGACACTACAGCTTTTGTCGTGACACGGTGTACAGTGCCGTGTCGCGTTGCCCACGCGTTTTCATTTTTTGTCCTTTTCCTATATCTATCCAGATTTTAATTGTTTTATCTTCACCGTTTATCTTTTAATTCTGTTTTTCGAGAGTTTCATTCCTAATAAAATTCTCAACTTTTTTTTTATTATTAACATTTTTTTTTATTTGTATCATTTTATTTTATTATTTTTTATTACTTTATTATTATTTCTATTTATCTTTATTATTTACTCTTATTTCTATTATTATTATTATTATTATTATTTTATTTTTTTCTTTCTTTGGGGAAGTTGTAAACCTTGTCCCATTTCCATACTTATTTATTTTGGAGGAGTTGTAAAACTTATCCCTTTTTTCTTTTCTTTTTATTTCTTTTTTCTTTTGGGGAAGGTCGGTACCCTCCACTCACGTTTTTTTTCTCGCGTTATTAATAAATACACAATCACACAGAATGAGTCTCAAGCAGACACTAATACACACTAATAAATACATAAACTGTGAATAATGTACAAAATGAGTCATAATAGATAAGCAGCGTCAAGTGTCATCACAGTATGTACAAATAAAGACCCTCGGTCAAAAATCTGTAGAACTAGAAAAGTGAGGATCAGTGTCATCTCCAGCCTGTGAATATGGGAGCGGTGAGCCAAAGAGTCTCGCCATCATCCGGGTACGAGGAGTAGTATCCCTACTAGTCCCTGTAACTCCAGTAGCAGTCAAACTCAAAGCAGGACTCGTCCAACTGGCAAACAGTGTAAACTGACTCCAAGAAGTAGGAAGCGTCGGTGGAGGCATCGTCCCATACACTGGAACTGAAAACAAGCCTGACACCGGTGGAGTAAGCGCCCCAGACGATGGAGCTGAGTATAAGCCATGATCCACAGGAGTGATAACTGGCCTGAACTCAGGCTGTGAAGACTGTGAAAATGACTGTCGCTGCCACTGACCCTGAAAGTGCTGGGACGACTGGGAAGACTAAGGCTACTGCCACTGAGCCTCCTGAAATGGCAGAGAAAGCTGAGGCTCCCGCTGACACTGAGAATGCCGATGAACCTCCAGAGATCGTCTGCCACGACTAGGCTCTCCCTCGTCCGAGCCTCTATGCCTCGAGCACGAGCGGGACCTCCATCGCTCCTGAAAGACATAAAATCAAAAGATGTTAACAGTGCAAAATAGAAGAAGTGGTAAAAATAAGAAAAAGTGAACATACCTCAAAAACATCGCTAGAACCGCCCCGACAACTCGCACCACGCCGAATCTTGATGATGCAGTACTTCAAAGTGTGAACCAGCTTCATGAATCCCATCATCTCCGAGCGGGTAGGCTGAGAACAAAGCAAAGAAAAACTCAGTAACAAGCGGCATTAAAAAGGATGAATAATGTATCAAAAGCTTACTGGCTCAAAAACATCAGGCAAAGACTCCTGCGCATATCTGAAACCCTCTAGTGCATCAGCAATATGGTCCTCAGTAATACCAATCGGCCCTGGGTAGCGGACAGATTGAGGCGTAATCTCAATCTTCCCTACACGGCGAATAGTCGTCTGAAAATACGATCGGATAATCAGGTTATTCGACGATTTAAACAGAGACTAGAAATAAAATTCCTAAAAAAAATCATACCTCGGGAAGACGGGGTGGAGGAGCCAAGAAGGGAAGCAAGTCTTGCGCATAATCGCCCTCCATACGCACAAGCTCCTGCCAAGGAAAAGTGTAGCGCTCTCCCCGTTTACCAACTCCCCAAGCAAGCGTGAGTCCAGCATCGATTCCAGTGGAGACAAGGGCACCACAAAGCGATCACCACTGTGCTGACGAACGACACGCTCCCCATATACCAGACAAAGCTTCTAGTACCAACAAAAACAGTGCGGTACGCTGAAAGCTGCAAGGCCTCGGGATGAATAGTCATCCCAACCCAAGGACGATGCTGGACATCAATAGCAACCTGAAAACCATAAAAAGTTGCAATGAAACGCCAAAAATAACGTCAAGATAGAAAATAACGGGCTACGAAAGTAATTCTTACACCAACAGAAGAGGTGCCTCGGCGTAGCAGCCTGCATAGCGCAGAGACAGACTTCACTCGTGACTCGCCTCGGTCACGCCAGCTGGCTCCGACAGGGAAGTCATGGACCGCTCCACGACACCGTCGAGGGGCCAATCTCGGAAAGTACTCATAGAACCATAGCTGCAATGAAAAGTAATCTTTGAGCGCACGAGTCGAACAAATTAAACCAAAACAAGAAGAGGAAAGATCATCACCTCTACGACTCTCCATAATCCGTAGACAGTGACAAGGGCCTGGTCGTTCAGCTGCCTACAGCCATGACGTAACGACAAGAGAAGATCGGCATATCCGAGCCTGGCCTAGCTAAAGGATCCTATCTCACTTATCCTGGGCAAAGAAGGAAGATAGCAAACGAGCGCACGCAAACTCCTATCAGGAGAAAGAGTCATGGAAATGAGAATCAAAATGAAGATCCGCACTCACTGTTCAGCTGATGTCTCATCCATATCAAAACCACGAGCCAGAACAGAAGACAACTCTGATCGCCCGCTCCTAGGACCACCTCGAGACACTGGCTGAGTCTTGATATGCTGAACGATCGGACCTAACAAATAGGCTGCCTCAGCCGCCGCCTAAGAAAGATCAGACATCTTCGCTACGGCCCGGTCAGTGAAGCGTAGACCACTGATCATGCTAAAATCCAGAGGGGTCATTGTCATTTTCATCTCATCCAACAACGCGCGAACGACTGTCGCGTCACAACCTCGGGGGCTGCAAAACCCTACGATCGCCGAATAAAAATCTACTAAACCAGCAGATTCCCACAAGGCGTTCGTAACAGGATTCCTCGTGATAATCCCATGAAGTCCAGGAATCAAATCTCCAGCTCCAGAAACGTGATGGCGAAGCGTGCCATCGACTATGCCGGCAAGTGGACGGTGAGAAACGTGGTTCTCACGGCAGAAAACCAACTCATCCGACGACCACGGAGGTGGAACCCACCTGCCCCTACTCAAAGAAGAACGAGGCTCCGTCTCTAGGGCATCGTCGTCCATGCCCTCAAGAACTGTGGGAGTGTCCTCCCGAAAAGCCTGACGCCGGCCACGAGTGGAAAGATCGCGATCCTGTTATCTAGGCATGCTATTACAAAAATAAAAATCTAAATGCTTAGCATCATTTCCTAAGTTATTTAGTCATTTATTCCAAACAGCTTAACGGTTATTTCAAGTTGCATTTTCTATTATACGCTAAATTTATACCTCAAAGCTAAAAATTAGTAAAATATTGGAATTATTTCTAGTATTGTTTAGTTTCTCCATGACAAACTAATACTATGTTCTCCTAATTGCATGATACTATGTTCTCCATGACAATGTAGTACATACACAAAACGAAACATGTTTCAAAATTGCACGAAAACAATAGATCGACACATCATGGCATATTTTACAAGATCTACAACTAATATATCATCATTTCAAGTGCAAAAGAACAACAAGAACACCATTTCACACAAGTAGTACCAAAAAATGGTGATTTGCTCCATTCTTCACCAAATCATGCAATTTTTGTCTCAAATTGCTCACAAACACACATACATGCATATACAAGCTAATTCATGGCAAAAATTTCAATATAAAACCTCAAAATAAAAAATCCCCAAATTGATTTTTCAAGGGTTTTTACATGAAATTACTCACTTGAAGCAAAATTCGAGACAAAAATCAAAGGAAACTTACATGGATCCTTGTGGAGATTCAAAAATGAAGAAAATAGCAAAAAATTAGAGCAAAATTGATGAGGATTTGAGCTCCAAAGCTCAAAAAACCGTGAAGACAGCAGTAACAGCCGCCGCGACACGGCTAGCCAAAGCCGTGACACGGTGTTCAGGGCCCGTGTCACGGTGAATCTGGGAAGCGGCGGAGCTCCGGCCAGCAACGACGAGCACCGGGACAGCATCAGCGACGAGCAGTAACAGAGAAAAAAATAAAAGGAGACACAACAGCAGAAGCGTCGTGTCACGGTGACTGAAAACATGACACGGTGAAGTCGGTCGTGCGCCTGTTCCGAGCTGATGTGGCACGGTAGTTTTTGAGATTAAAAATAAAAAATTTTAAGGAGAAAGGAAGAACAGGGAGATGAATATGGTGAAAGTGTAGTATGAAATGGCAAATGGAAGTAAAATTTTAAAGAAAAGAGGATCCCGTTATACTCCCCGTTTTTCGTGCCACGGTGACCGTTACCGTGTAACGACACAAAACTGACGTGGCGCACGTGATTTTAGCTGGTCAAAAACACTAGTTGACCAGTTCTGCAACCACTAAAATCCCGCGCCACGGGATATTATGTCGCGTGATGGGAGCACCTGCCGTGTCGCGGGAGTTGTTCTTCGTGACACGGTGGTCTCGCGCGTGTCCTGCACACTCCTTGAAGCTGTCAGCGAATATTCCTGGCATTTTGACCAAAATTGCACGATTTTCCGCACAAATTGGACAGTTAGTTTTTCAGTAAAATTACGCAGAAAATTCTAACTGACATTTAAAGGGTATCAAAATTACTATTTTAACCCTAGTGAGCGTCAAAGTCAATTTTGTCGATATTTTAAACACCTAATATGGTCGGATAGTCGACTTGAAGGTATGAATCATTTGCGGCCCACGTTCGGGGATAATCGAACCATCATACACTTGCAATTTTCAGCGATTACATCAGTTTTCGGTTTTCCTCAAGCATGGAAAACATTATCGGTGGGTTTTTCTTCAAGTATAGAAAACCGCCAAGTCGGCTTTCCTCAAGCGTGGAAAGCGTTATCAGTGGATTTTTCTTCAAGTATAGAAAACCGCCAAGTCGGCTTTCCTCAAGCATGGAAAGTATTATCGATGGAATTCTTCAAGCATAGAATGACACCAAATTCATCAATCGGCTTTCCTCAGGCATGGAAAGTATCATCCGGTAGGTTTCTTCAGGCTTAGAAAGCTACCAAATTCAACAATCAGCCTTCCTCAAGCATCGAAAGCGTTTCAACGAACGTCATCCAGTGGATTCCTTCAAGCATAGGAAGCTGCCAAACTCATTTGTCACTGATACACTGGTGCCAGATACGTATTCTATCCTTTTACTCTTTTATCTGTGGAATTAACATTTTTTTGTAGGTATCGGCGTACACAGAGTGGTTTAGGATCGCAGAACGTCTTAAATCATTCTCCGTCCCTATCAGCTACTTTGACTATCGTTTTCGAAACTGACGTTTCTACAAACTCAGTCAAAGTGGGGGTTTCTGTAGACACCTAAAAATGTCTCCCCAAACCCGATGATGAACAACCTTTCACCGCCACTATTGGTCGGGGTCAGTATTTAATCCCGAGAGTGCTTAAAATTCGTATTTAATTAAATTTAATTTTTGATTAATCCATGGATCAGTCTTGAAGTTTAGTCAAAGCATAGTTTTTTTAATTTCAGCCCAAACCTTTTTTTTATTTTATTGTTTTATTATTTATTTTGGCCCAAACCTTTTATTTATTTTATTTTCTTATTTTCTTATTTTAGCCCAAATAATAATAAATTAAAAAAGGCCCGAAATTATCAGTTGGCACTTAAAATGTTGAACGAAATTAGGGTTAAAAATGAATTTAGACGGAAAAACGGGCTAAAAACTCCCGCGTCACGTCATTATTCTACCGTGTCACGGGAAACTCTCCCGTCTAACGGTGGGATTTTCCGTGACACGGGACACCTGATGTGACACGGGGGTTTCCGTGTCCTTTCCGCGTAAACCCTTAACGCGTTTTCTCCCCCGTTCACTTAATATTTCCCACGTCACACAACAATACATCGTGCCACGGGAACGTTCCCCGTCTGACGGTGGGATTTCCTGTGTCACGGTACACTTTGCTGTGTCGCGGTATACTTTTTTAGGGTTTTTATCTTTTTAGGATTCCGTGTGTTCCCTCAGCACATTTTTTCTATAAATACCCCCTCATTTCTGATGTACGGGGCATGAATTAATTCTCTATTTTTTTTCTCTCTTCTATGCTCTTGCCTAAACACTAGCCTACCCTTCTTCTTTCAAAATTCCTTCTTCAAGCACTCCAAGGAGTCCATACTTTACTCGTGGTTTTGTCCTTAAGCCAAGGCGTGAAAGGCAGAACTTTTTGAGGGTTTGGCCCCAAATCAATTCTGTTTAATTTAATTTAATTCAATTATTGTTTTATTATTATTTCCTTGAAGTTACTAACTCGTTTATTATTTTATGGTCGCAAGCAAACAGAATCAAAGTAAGAATTATGTTCCTTTTATTTCTATTATTTTTCTAACGATTTTATATTGTTGGAATTATTGTTAAATTGCTTCCAATATTAATGTTTGTTCTATTATTATTTTTTTATCAGTATATTTCATGTTTAAAGGGAATATGTAATTGAAAATCACGACTAATAAGATAATTTGGACGACCGGTTTAGGTTACTTTTAATCTTGTTGTTTAATCAAGTGATCACAATATTTTAGAATTATGTGTTGCATTAATATTCAACCAATTTAGCTAAATAACAGTTTGGAGCAAATTGAATCTGTTTGTATGTCTTTGAGATCGCATGAATCATTTTTCACTATAAGAATCGAGTAGAGGTCAATACGGGCGAATGTGACTCCATGACTCACTTCGTACCATCATCCCTGATCCTCCTTTCGTGGTTTCGAACCATATGGAGTTAGTAATCTCATGGATTATGAATGGGGTGTAACCTTCACGGGTCAATCGTTGTTGCCTATCGTTGCCCCTCATCGTGGTTGCCTTTTTATGATCCGTGAACGGTTTACAAGTTCCTTAAAAACTTGTTGGCGGCTCCCTGCTTTCCTTGTCCCTAATCGTATTATGTCAATTCCCACTTCCTATGAGTGCCAAGCATATTCACGCATGCTTTAACGTAGGTGCACTTCAAACAATTGTAACTATAAATGATTAATTTAGTGTAAGTTTAGGTATTATAAATGATTAACTATAAATAAGACAAAACACTGCAGAATGATTGTAACTAGTTTAGTGTAAGTTTAGGTATTATAAATGATTAATTTGGTTAGGGTGGTAGCACAACGACCTATCTTATATCGATTAGTAGTTGCATGCTAAAATTTAGTATTTAGAGGATATCAACTTAATTTAGGATGGTATCAACTAGTATTTAGTCTTTACAGGATATCATTCAATTAGTAACTAGTTGATTTATAACAACTATTATTTTATCTTTAAAAGATATCATTCACTCATATGATTTTAGTATGTTATTGTTGGAGATTATCATTCACTCTTTATATTATATTAGTAATAATTTTGTTTTTAAAATCTAGTAATTTTACGAAATGATATTTATTTAGAATGATATCAGCTAATTTTTCTGTTCATAGAATAAAGTCTAGTCATTTGAAGAAATGATATTTCAATAATAGAATATTAGCTAATATTCATTTTTAGAGGATATCATCCAGTCATTGTAGGATATCGTCTAGTGTTTCGATATCTCGTTATTAGTAAATTGCAGTATTTTGTTTTTAGAGGATATCATTCGGTTATTGTAGGATATCTTCCAGTGTTTGAATTTATGTTATTAATAGTTGGAAGATAAATTTTAGCGTTTAGTCTTTAAAGGATATGATCCAGTCATTGTAGACATCCTTCAGTTTAGATGATATCATCAAATGTTTTGAGGATATCTGTAATCCCCCATATTTTCAACTTAATTATAATGTATTTATTTATTATTTATACAAATATTTTTATTTTTGATTTTATAAGTATGAATTATTTTGATGTAAAGTAATAAGATTTTCATTATTATTAAACATTATTATTAAACTAAAACTATTAAGTTTTGGGTTGAAATCAAAATCCCCTTTTAAGTTTAGTGGCCTAACACACTAACTTACTTAAACCCAAACAAGAATCCTAATTCTACTTGGATTAGGAAAGTTAAGCCCATACTTTTACAAAAACATAAACCCTTAAACCCACCTTATTTCCCCTCACTTCTCTCCTCTTCTTTCACGTGAAATAAAAAAAAAACCCTCAACTCTTTCCTCCTTCCTGCTTTACGATTCAGAACAACAACAACAAAAAAATAAA